ATTTGTAGATTGTTTTGACATAACAAATCCAATTTTGGAATTTAAATTAGTTAATTAATTAAGTAAAATCTAAAACACACAAACAAAAACATTAAAATATTCAATTAAACTTGAATTCGTTTAAATATTCAACTAGATAATTAATTGATCACATACAACATATTGATATGATCACATATCATAGCTTGTGGTTACATTGTACATATGTACTAAAAATTGGCTACACCCCTGTCCAGAGATTTGGCAAAACTAGTCATTAAAATGTTTTTATAATATGGAAAGAATAAAGATAAACGTAAACTTATGATAAAAGCATAAACCACTTTTGAGGTTTTCTCAAAAACCTAAGTAACTATACGCACAAACCAAGCACATCCAGCAAACATTGTTTTAGTGGATTTGCAGTGAACCTATATAGGCATTTCTTTGCGGTTTTTTGGAGTTTTGGTCATCGGTTTCTTAGTGGACCATTAGAGGCAGCCGCTATAAATGATAAGTCAATAACATTCTGACATGTTAAACTGACTACCCAGCAAACATTCTATAGTGAACCTATTAAGACATTTTGAGCGGTCCACTGTAGTTTTGCTCATCGGTTACTTAGAAGACCATTTGTGGCAGCAGCCAAACAAGGCTAGCTCAAAATGCTTTTATAGGTCCACTGAAATTCCTTTAAAGAACGTGTGCTGGGCATCTAATTTTGTCATTTTTAACAAGCTTTCGGAAATTTATGTTTTTCTTTCTTTTTTTTTTTTATCTTTTATGTAAACGAGTGTTACAGACGCTTTTCTATTTTATTTACAAAAATTTGAAGCAAACCCAGCAGACATTCTATGGAAGAAATTAAGTGGACCTATATAGACATTTTAAGCGGACCGTTGTAGTTTTGCTCATTGGTTACTTAGTGGAATATTAGTGACAGCCGCCAAAAGTAACTAGCCGACATGCCACAATCAACATGTCGGTACGTTATCTGCTTGCCATTTATAACGGCTGCCACTAAAGGTTCACTAAGTAACCGATAAACAAAACTCTAATGAACGCTAAAAAATATGTATATAGGTCCACTGCAAATCCACTAATAGTTATTGATAAACAAAAAAAATCTTTATTAAATTTTTTAAAAACACAAGCAGAACATAATTGTATTAAACAAAAGTAAATTTTTAGTTTTTCATTTTGTTAACACCTAAATAAGTATTTTTGTTAAAATATTAAAGATTTCAAGGCATGAAAGTTTTAACTCCTTTTTTTTCAATTTCAAGTCACTTTTCAAATCACCCTATGGTTCTTTAATTGTTTTTAGTTTAAATTAATTGTTTTATTTTTTTAAAAATGCTGAGCTTGTTTCAACTTAAAAGTTAGGTTCTAAAAATTTATGGAAAATCTTTAATAGTACTATTTATATATAAGTATAAGAGACAGAATACTAAACCTCCCTTCGCAGGTTTAGTATTCTGTCTCTTTTACTTATACTGGAAAAATTTATAGGGTTTTATTGCAGTTTTGATGTTATAATTTAAGGCAGGTTTAGAATTAGTCGAGGATCTTTTTTTACTCCCTATCCTTGCCATGTTAAAGACTTACAAATAAAGTCTGGCTCGCTGGTCTACTCCATATGTTCTTTCATACAAAGTATTTGGCAAAGTTTATAGGGTTTTATCACAATTTTAAAGTTGTTCTAGAAAGACAATACTCTCTTTCTTTACCAGTATCCTGTAGGGTATTACTATGTTCCATTCTTAGTACTGTGTTATTTTTAATTTATATTTAAGATTTTTTTAACTTTTTTTCTTTCTTGGCAAAACCACATGACCTTTTGATTAGCTGAATTTAAATTTTATTTCTCTTTTGTGAAAAGTTAGGAAAAATAACTTTTTTTAATTTGATTTTTCTTAAGCATTTAATAACAGATTCATTTTTTTTTAATTCTTTTGGAAATAGTTTTAATAATAAAAATATAAATAATATAAGATAAAGTAAAGTTGAAATTTTGTAGTATCTTAGAGGTTTCTGGAACAAAAAAAGAAAACTTTTAATCATCAAAGATTACCTAAATATTCCTATGAGAAAAGAATAATTTATTAATTCAAAAAAATTTCTATATAGCTATTTATTTCTATATAACTATAAGTTTCTATATGACTAGTTATTTCTATATAACTATAGGCACATTTTATGATAAGAAATAACGGAAAAGACCAGTACGTCACTTAAGCGTTTGAAATGTCAAAAGCGTTTATCTTAACCTCACCTCTTATATAAGGGTTAGCAAATCAGCATTAGAAGAAGAGGAATGAAGTTCGTATTGATCTTCAAAAATAAGTTGTTAGGCTTGAGTTGAGTTATTAGATGTTTGTTTATCAAGGGTTCACGCAGATTTTGCTAAAAAGAGGAAATAATTGACAAAACTATTTGCTAAAAAGAAGAAAAATAATTGGGAGGAGTGAAATAGCTCAAACACGTAAAAGAATAGTCACAGAATTAAAACCTGATTTCACAACAGTTGGGCAAATTTATAAGTGATGTTATAGAATGGTTTCTTGATAAATTAAAAAAATTAAAGTGCTAAGGAAAGCTTGAGTATAGGCTTTATAAATACATACTCTATGTCTGAGATCAAACGTATTCATGAGTAACATAAATATACACACTTCACAATGACATTCCCAATGAACTTTTTTTTCGTAACCAGCAATTAATTTTGATAAACGTATGAGAAACCCTATTTAATATTTGAGCCTTTTTTGAACGCTTTCTTTGTATTAAAGGAACAGGGAAAATAAAGGGAGCCAATATTGCTCATCTCATTTATAATGTATTAATAAAAGTAAAATTTGAATTGCTGAAATGATGTAACTAAGCTTAAAATAACGGCTTAATTATTGCTAAAATTTACGTCGGGCCCCTATCATATTATGTCAGGCCCCTATTATGCTAAAGAGATCAAGCAAAAATATTGCTACTCTCAATTGTGCTATAGAGAATCTTGATTCTTTCACCGAAATACTAAATTAAACAAAGTCCTTGATAAAATTGTTAGTAACTGTTGCGCTTCTAATCTTTTTGTTACAAAAACTCTCTAACTTGTCAACAAAGTCGTTTGTTAAAGTCAACTTCACTAATAAAAGATGAAAAAGTTTTTGTTTAACAGTTAATTAGTAATTTGGCTGCATTTGCTCATCATGGTTTAACATTTTGGCAATGAAAAGATTGAAAAATAAAAAAAAAAAGAAATGGAAAAGAGAAAAAAACGATATCACAATAAAGCTGCAAATGCAGTTTTTTGCAATAAGAGTCCCGAATAATAATTTGAGGTAACTATCAGCAGCCATGGCGCAGTGGTTAGAGTTTTGGCTCTGAACCCAGGGGTCAGAGGTTCAACGCCAGCTCTAGCCCAAAAAGCAACATTTGTACAGAAGGAGGTGTGAATTTCTTGTTAAATGCTCTCCCGTGGTGCTCTGTGATAAGATCGTAAGGACTTCTGGGAGCAACTAAATAACTACAAAAAAAAAAAAATCTTTAACCTTGCGTTTTAACATTTGATTCAACAAACTTAATCAGAATTTGACTTTTTCTTCAAGGTTCTCACTTATCCAGTTAAAAGATCAAGAAGAAATTCTCAATAGATAAAAGCTCTTAAATTAGCGCAATTCTAATCAAACGGTGCCAAAGAAAATAAATTTTTGGAAATTTTTCATCCTAATTGTTTAAATGAGAATTTTGCTTTTAAATCTTGGAAACTCCTTGAATCTTCTCAACTAAACTCACTCTAAGACACCCTATTTTCCTTTTTCTATATATTCTAACTCAAAGTTTTAATACAAAGCCAGTTACTGCCGTAGACGGTAAAGAACCCATTTGTAAATTAAAAATGATCAAGAACTTTTGTTGGGCCACTATGTGACTAGAAGACTTATCACATAATACCATTTGTTGAAAATAACATTGGTTGACATTTAAAATAACATCGGTCAACATTTGTTGAAAATAACATCGGATCACATAATACTATTTGTAGAAAATGGATTAGTTAAGTCTCTATCATAGGATGATATAATACCAAATTTTGTTGGTAAAAAAGAAAAATTGAGTGTTTTGTATAGACGGTTTATTGTAATTTCAATTTCTAAAGAATATGGTAATAATTCGCTTCGGTTTATGTCGTATTTTTTCAAGATATGGTTTATGAAAAAATATATGTTAATGATGTTTTTATGCGACATTTCTGAAACAAATTGCAACTTTGAAATTTTTAGAAATAAATTAGAAAAATAACTAACACTAGTTTGCCAAGTTGCAACATTTTTATTATTATTTTTGAAGAATTCAGAACTTTCCTTAGTATAAAAATTAATTTTAACACTGTCGTTGCTATAGTTATATTGATGCATATTTAAATAAAATAAATAAAACTTTTTGTTAGCTATAACTATCTTTGAGTTGAAATTATTTTTTATACAAAGGAAAAGTCTAAACCCTTTAAAAGTAATAATAGAAAAATGCAACTTGGTGAACTAATTGCTAGTTAACTTCCAACGTATGTTATTTTTGTTTTCATATCAATTGTTACAAAATTACTAAATATATATATATATATATATATATATATATATATATATATATATATATATATATATATATATATATATATATATATATATATATATATATATATATATATATATATATTAACGAAAAAAAAACAACTTTTTCTATAGTTCTTTAAGTTTCATGCCTATACGGCAATCATCAGCCATTGAATAAAAGTATTAAATCGCTGATGATTGCCCTCAGGCATGAAACTTAAAGTACCATAGGAAAAGTTGTTTTTTCTTCGTTAATATATATATATATATATATATATGTATATATATATATATATATATATATATATATATATATATATATGTATATATATATATATATATATATATATATATATATATATATATGCGTGTGTGTGTGTGTGTGTCTTTCTTAAAAACTACGTTTAATACCTCATAGCAGTTTGTAGTAACACATATCTCATCTGATGAAATTTTGTTTGACTGATTGTTTTCAACCTGAAACAAAATAATATCACTTTATTTATTACTTGTTGAACCCGTGACACAGAGCAGAAATCGAAACCTTAAAGAAGCTTAAAGCATAAAATATTGCCGTTTGATACTGCATTTTAAGTTATTATTATTATTGTTATTACGACTATTATTCTAACTATCGCTCGACATCTTTTTAGACAGGAAATCTATATAACCCTTTAAATCTAAAACTACGAATTAGCGTTTTATGTGTTGTTTGCGACTTTAAGAGCTATGGACAAAAAAAATACAACTCTACTATTTTCTAGGTATTTTAATGCGTTAATTCAATGGTTGCACAATAAAACACAAAAAAAGGTATAAACTAATAAAAATTTTTATCCATATTAAGAAATTAAGATCAACTGAATAATTTTTAATCATAAATGATATCATTTCTCTTATAAAAGTGATTCAGTTGATGTTATGCTTATAAATAGCAAAGATACAAATTTATTTTTTAATTTAAAATTGAAGTTTAGAAATCGTTTTAATATATTTCCACTATTAAGATTGAATTTTAAAACTTTAAAATAAATCTCCCTTTTGAAGTTTTATCCAAAAAAAATGTTGTGTTTTATGATTAACTTTAAAATTTTTTCTGACTGTAAGATAATTTATTTTGTAAAATAATTTATTTTTATAGTTTTATTTAAAATAAAGCATAAAATTTACTCAAAAAAGATTTTTTGATTATGTTTTTACTAAAAAATTAAAACTGAATTTTAAAAACTTTATGCCTTGTTTACGTTTTTCGTTTACATGACGAAAATGCTGAAACCATTTAAATAATTCTCATAGATGTAAACATAATTAAGATGGTAGGGATGCAAATAATTATCGAAAAAAAAATTTTGTGAATTTTTTTTTTAATGGAAAAAATTTCTTGGCCCATATTTACACCTTAAAACACTCTTAAGTAGCATCAGAGCACATAGCAACGTCTCTAGTTACCATGGACTGAAGTTTATTCTCTATTTTCCTATTATAATATGTGCTTTATTTTACTCTGAACATTCACTAAGGTGAATCTGCTATGTCTTTAGCAGTCTAAATGTCGCATTTTGAAGTCACAAACATAACTCAGACAAATAAATTGGCTGATAAGTTGTAATAGTACTGTTTAAAATTTATACTTTGTATTATTTACAAAAATTTACCAAAAACTGTATTTGTTACCAAAAACTGTATTTGTTGGCAGGGAAACCATAGATATGAGTGTACATTCAGCTTTGTTTCATTTTAATGATAGGCGGAAAGGAATAATGAAAGTTTTAGGACATTTTGGTTTAAAAATGCAAATTTCAAAGGCTGTAGCAACAAAGTTAGATAACTCACGCATTAAGCGAATGGATAAAAAAAGTTCACGAATGAAGAGAAAAAGGATTGCGACCCAGAAAAAATGGATTTATTGATAAAAAGAATCAGTAGGTTCATATCAAACTGGTTCTTACTAAGGAGAAACTTATTTTTGAAAGATTTTTTTTTTTTTTTTTGCATTTTTCTCTGTTTTTAATTTTTGGCACACTTGCTGTAACTCAAAACATAACTCGAGGTTTGAGCATTTTTAAATTTTGACTTTGTGTTTAATATAATCTAATACTTCGGATGCCCCTTAGAATTTACTTAAAACAATTAACATCTTATTAAAAATTCAGATGCAAATTTGTTTCAACATTTATTGAAAAAAATAGTTTTTCACAAAAACCTTGATTACTCTTATGGTTAAATGATTTATGCAAATCCTAATGGTCATTCGGAGTATAATATGATAATATACATTTGTGCAAAAGGATTTTTAAATTTTTTCTTTTGTTTTATGAAGATGTCATGTTTCAAAAACATCATTTGTAAGGGTCAAAATTGAGACATTTTTCACGATTATGGATTTTCTGTTTAAAAGATAAAAAATATTTTTTTATGCAAACTATTTCTCTTAATGAATTTAACAGTTTAAATAAACTAAAAAATGTTGCAACGAACAATTTCAGAAAGTAGTCTTTTTGTATCCCTACTACCTAAAATTACATAAGAAATACTTTAACTTACGTTAGAGTGCATACAATAGGAATAAAGTTGACCCCACAGGAGCCAATCTTTAGTTAAAAAGTTATTATTTTCAAACTTGAGGTTAAGTGAACATCTTTCTAAATGTAACTCGCAAATCTTTAGGGAAAATAATACAAGCAAAGCAAAAATGAAATAAACGTCCATGATTTATGATAGCGTTTAACAATTCCAATAAAAATCAATTTAGATATTACTAACAAAAAATTTCTTTAATTTCTTGAAAACAACTTCAAACTCTTAACGCATAATTATTCAAAAAAAAAAAATTTTGATGTTAATCAAGTTTAAATATTTTTTTTTTGTATAGTTCAAAATTAATATTTAAACAACTTTTGATAGTTTAGTTGTAATTAAAAGAACTGCTAGTTTTTAAGATTGGAAAAGGTGAATCAAATCAAATTAAAAATTAATAAAAGCTACATTATTATCCTTAAGAATTGTATTTGCTTTGAAATGGCTCGCGCGTCCTAAGCAGTTGTTAAAGCACTTTTTTTAGCGTCTAAATTGTCTCACTTTTGTCCAGCTTTTAGTCAGTTTATTTACATATAAAGAAATATACCTTGAAAAAAAGGTAAATTTTTTGTTTGTTTGTTGTTGTTGTTGTTGAAATTGTTGCATAAAAAGCTTTCAAAAAAAAAGACATCCGTACTGTGTATATTTGCTACTTTTCCGTAGATTGGTTATTATTTATCATTTTATTGTTATACTTCAGACAGATGGGAACAGGCCCGGCGGAAGGCGGGTACAATGGGTAACTTTCACCCAGGCACCAAGGCGTCAAATATACCAAATTTTCACTAAATACTTTTTTTTTCTTGAAAATATGAAAATATATAAGTTTATATGAATAGTTATATAAAAATTGATATACTTTTTTCATGTAAGAATAAGTATATAATAATATAATAAATGTATATAATAATTTATAATAAAACATAATAACTCAAAAAATCTTTTTAAATTTTTTTAATGTATAGTTTTAAAAATGTTTTAATAAATAAAGAACAAATTATGGACAGGGCCCCCGAAAAAGTGGGGTTAAAGGGGCATGCGTGCCCCGGGCGCCAAGATATTAAGAGCGTCAGAAGACGAAAGACAAAAAAAAATTATGACATTTTAATTACAAAAAAAGTTAAAAACTTCTTTTTATTGATGAGGCATAAAATAAATTTACTTAATGATGTGCAGAATTTTTAAAATTAAATTACTAAAGAAGTTTTAAATAATTTATTACTTTAATAAATTATTTAAAAAGTTAATAATTTCAAACTATAAGATAGCCATCAAAACCAAGTTAAAAAAACGTAAGTGCGTTTTCTCATCAAATTCAGCATTTAATTAATTAAAAATGACCTGTCTAAAACCTCAATTAATCAAACTTTACCTAGAACGTCAGCACTTATTTAATATAATAATATCCGTAGTATGGAAGATCTTGCTTAAGAAGCCTACGCACACGAGACGTTTAGCTTAGATTGCCACTATAAAACAATTTGCAAAAAGACATTGGGAAATTACTGCTGTTCTAAAGCCGTTGCTTTGCCCTCAATTTTTTGTAAAGTAAATGATGATAACAAAATTGCAATGTACCTGGATATGCAGATTTTTTCCATGAGTTCTCTGAACATTAGCTTGAAATGAAAAACTTTAACGATGAGCTTTGTCATTCAACAAATTTAATTTAAAATTGGGATTGTAAAAACCTTTTCTTTAAGATTCTCATTCCTCTGGTTAAAAGATCAAGAACCAGTAAAAAATAAAGTTTGAAATAGAAGACAACCTTATGGAAGTTATTTCGCATCTTAATAGTTTAAAATAGTCTTCATTTTTTACACTTCTGAAAACGCTTCAGATTTTTCAACCAAATATACTCAAAGGGTCTATAGCTTATTTTTTCAATCTATATACATTCTAACTCGAATAATGCAAACAAGTAGTTGTTGCAGAAAATGAGCGACCTTTAAGTAAACTAAAATTGATTTAAAAAATGATTGTTGGGTCATTATAAAACAAAAGGTTTAACAAAGTTTATCGGACATACAGGTTGAAAATAAATTGGATACAACTCTGCCGTAAGACTACATAATAATAATAACAATTTTTGATGGTAAAAAAGCAAAAAAAGAGTTTTCAATATTAATTTCAAAAAATCTGTAATACTTAATCTAGATTAGATTTTCCTAAAAATACGAATAAAAAAAAATTAACATTATATAAAATAAAAATACAGTCATAAATTTGTATAAGTGTACATGTTTTTATTTTAATATAAAGATGCTTATAGGGGCGCCAAATTGTTACTATGCTCCAGGTGTCATGAAAGCTCTCGGCGGCCCTGATCATGCATGTGCATTTTTCTGCTAACCAATCGATGGCATTGTTTAGAAGTATTATTTTTGAAAAGTATTATTTTTAAGATAAGTTATTAACAATCTTCTTTCGAAAATTGTATTAAAATACATTCCAAAATTAAAAACATATTTTATTAAAGCGGCAAAATACTGTTTTTACCCACAATTGAAATGTCTAGCGCCTACATTTCCTGTGTCACGGTGCTCATGGAACCAAGTTTTGCATCCGACGCATTGAATCCAATTATCTTCTTTTTTTTTTTTGTCGTTGTAAAAGAGACCGCAATCACCACAAAACTTATCTTCATCATTCTTACTTATCTTTTTCGAGTTTTTTCAAATTATGTTTCACGGCCATTTTTGTTTGACTTGGCCTGGGCATTTTAATTATTCTATCCGCAACTAAACTTCTATCGACATTTGCACATTTAATTACACATTTAATGATCTTCTAGTTTTTACTAATTATTTTAGGTGGTGGAATTATTGAACGGATACTAGATGCAGTGTCTGAAGATCCAGGTTCCAAAGTACTAAACTTGCCAACTTAAGGATTTTTGACGATTATGCGATTAGAAATTTCACTGGGTGCAAATGCTACTAGGGGGATAATATAAGGGTTGGAAAGATAAATTCCTGTTGATCTGAATCCTGATATGGCATTTGCTGGTGTAGCGGTACGCAACCATGCTTCAGTAAATAATTGTGGAAATTGCAGTTTTGACAGTGATCGTCCAAAAAAGTTTCTTTCGGAAATTATCAATGGAAACATTCCAGTACGTTTTTAATGGTTTGAAAACGCTTTTGTTCAGAGGTTGAAGTTCGTGACTACAATGCGCTGGAAGACAAAGCATATGGATGTTTAACTTTTCGGATTCCTCTATTATAGCAATATCAAAATGACCACGATGTCCGTCAAAAATCAACAAAGCTTTTCCTGGTAATCGGTGCATGTTAAATGACGCAAAAAGTACCAAATTCTTTCTTAGTAATATATTTTTTTAAGTTGATGAAGGTGCCCCAAGAAGTCCTTACGGTCTTATTACAGTGCACTGCGGAAGAGCATTTAATGGGAAGTTCACGCCTCCTTCCCAACCGATGTCGCAAAACTTGCCCAGAGGTGGGGTTTGAACCATGGATCTAACGTTTCTGAGGCAAGTGCGCTACCACTGCGCCACGGCTGCTTTAATATATTCTTTTGGAGTCATGCGAAAAATAGTTTTAGGTGGCAAATTATCTCCTTACTCATGTTTCGAATTTTTTCCTTTATATAAAACCATAGGTGGAATCCAATTGGTTCCAGTAGCATTTGTACAAGCAACTACACTTACAGTTTCTCCTCTATCTGCACGAGTACACGTTTTGCTCCCTTTTTTGGTATTACTACATAAGTGTCAGTCATTGTTAATTCCAATCCAGATTCATCGACTTTGTAAATCAATTCAGGATGTTGTGTCAAATTTAGTTTTTCATAGACTTTATCAATAAGATTGTAAAAGTTTTGAACAGTTTCAGCATTGAATCGCATTAGCCTACCATAATATATAGTCACGAAATCGCCTACGACTTGGTAAAACTAAGAAACCAGAATTGTTTTTCTCATTTAACCGTACTGCTTCATAAGCAGCTGGTGATTTTGCAGCTAATCCCAAACAGTAACTGTAACTGTATTATTGCTGGATGATAGCGAATCCCTTGCTTTGAGCTTTTTAAATATTTTTGCTGCTCTTCCCAAAACAGGCTCATAAATGGAAAAACCTGGGTTTTATCAGTTCCTGTCATTATTTGAACTAAATCACTTTCAATACTTTTACTTATAGCTAGTGATAAATTTTCAATCTCCTGCTTCATCAAAGCTAATTCCTTTTTTAATTCTTTATTTTCCAGACGAACACTCTGTAATGTAAGCTTCAGACGATCTGGAGATGTAAATTTAATTGGTGCATTTAATTTAGCAGGGATTCAAGCAATGGCAACATTTTTTTTCAAACTTATGATTTCACTTTTTTCAATCTTTTTGCATTGAGAACAGCATAACATTAACCCAATCAGCATAATACATGATTAAGATCGAAAATACTCTGTCTGATTTAAGGGAAAATCACTCCTAGATGAAAATAAATCAAACTTTTTTGAAATACAATGCTTAATATAAAGATTTGATTTTAAAGCAAATACATCAGTTATTCCAGATCAAAGGGTAAAAGAAGTAACAACAGAAATAAGATTTGAAGCTGAAAATGTCACATTAATCTTCTGTATTTTGCATATATCGAATGATCATCTGGAATGAGCTAAGAATATACACGAATGGTAAAAGCAAGACTGTCATCAACATATATTTCATATCGAGGACATAAGTGGATTGTGTCATAAAGTTTAAATTCTGCCACAACAGGACTCACACTTACTGTCCAGTCACAAATCTTTACCTTACTAATACGATTTAGGAACTCTTCGTATGATTTATATATAGGTTTAAAGGTAATAATACTATTTGGAATCATTGAAGCATCTCTTTTAGCAACGATAGAAGATGCAGATTCCCTTTGTGTAGGAATTGATGAAATAAAACTTTTTTTGGAAGACACAAAGTCGGTAGTGATCCAGGTTTTAGTGACTTTCTGTTGTCGTTATGAAGTATCATTTCTGGAAGATAATGCTTTTCACAAATAAACAGACACTTTCTTTCTATTTGAGCCTTCAAATTTATATCTTTAACACGATCTTTAAGAATGATGGCTATTAAATTTTTCCTCTAAGAAGTGTTAAAACTATCGTTAGATGCAGGAACCTTAAATATTGAAACTCCCTTATGCCTCCGAGAAGTACTGCATCCATAAATAGAACAATTTAAAGTATTGGATGAAGAAGATGCAATTTAGACAAGCAATTCATCGA